CCCCTCTTTGCTTTCAACAGGACGATGTGCGTGTGCTTTTCAACAGCCCTCGCATTTTACTAGCACGCATTGCGCGAGCTGATGTTCGTTTTGTTGTCGCGGTTGTGCATGCGCCCACCGCTGCCGATCCCATGCGTGGCACATGGTGGAAGCATTTTCGAGATCGCCTTGCCACTGTTTCCAAAGGCGATCCCCTCATCATAGCAGGGGACCTGAATGCACGCCTACTAGATCCCCTTCCCGGTCGTATAGGAAGCAATGTCTGGGAAAGCGGCCCTGCGCCGCCGATGCAACTTGCCCAAATCCTTGATGACTTTGACCTGTGGGCACCGGCAACATTCGAGGAGGTGCACCACGGCCCTTCTTGCACATGGGTCTCCCCGGGACAGGGCACTGCCTCCCGCATTGATTTTGTTCTTATCCCAAGTGCTTGGACCGTTGCCCACCATGGATCATATGTGTTGACCGATTGTGATTTTGGGCAAAGCAATCTTGATCATTTTGGAGTTGTTCTTGAGGTCGATGTTTGGCTTGCCGCCCCCCATGCCGCAAAGCACCCTCGTCGCCGGATTGACACCCAGCGATTACAAGAGGCAGATGCACAACCTGTCCTACGGCAGATCTGCGAAAGCATCCCTGAAGTGCCATGGAGCACAGATGCTCACACACACTATAGCATCCTTGCAGATCACATTGGTTGCAGCTTGGCGAACGCTTTTCCTGCCCCTCGAACCAGACGCAAGCGGACCTTTTTCAGTGAGACAACCTGGAGTCTGCGACAACAAAGGCTCCGCCTTCGCCGGCAGATTAGCAAAAATTGCACAATTTTACGACAAACTGAGCTTGTCGGTGCTTTTTCTGCCTGGCGTTTTGAGCTTCCTTTGCATTTTGTTTTGCTTCGGGGTATAGGCAGGTCCATCCGCACTGCCTTCTGTACACAGCAGGATGTTGCCGACCTTAAAAAACTGCAGCCTGCCCTCAAGAGAGGGATTCAGAAAGACCGCAAGACTTATCTTGCCTCTGTTGCACAGTCTGCTGCCCAATCTACTGTCAAGGATACTGTCCAAAAGCTACGACCACTCCTTGGACCACCCCGGAGGCGGTGTAAGGGACTGCAGGCCCTTCCTCTCATCCATCTTGAGAATGGAGAGGTCGCCCCTGACCGTGAGGCATCTGATGCTCGATGGTTGCGGCATTTCGCTGCTATCGAAGCAGGTGGTCCTGCCGATGTCCAAGAACACATAGCTGCCTGTGTTGCCAGACAAGCAGCACATGACCTTGACAGTTTTACGCTTGATCTGCATGACGTGCCTCACAGAGTCGATGTTGAACGAGGCCTGCGTGCCTCAACATGTGGGAAGGCTGTCGGTAATGACGGTGTTCTGCCCGACTTGCTCCACCTTCACGCAGCCGGCTTGTCACGCGCGGTTTACCAAATCTTCCTCAAGACTGCCTACCGCCTGCAGGAACCGGTTGCATGGAAGGGGGGGACCCTACATGCCATATGGAAAGGCCGTGGGGATCAGGCAGACTGTGCAGGATACAGGGCCATCCTCGTCAGCAGTTCCATTGGAAAGGCTGTGCACGGCGTCTTCAGGAACAAGTGCTCCAGTCACCTCGATGAGGCCTGTACCCCCCTCCAAATTGGAGGACGACGGGGGCAGCCCGTTCAAATCGCGACACAAGCAGTACGCACCTTTCAGCAAGCAAGCGTTTGCTCCCGTCACTCTTGTGCTGTACTCTTTGTAGATCTCCGTGAGGCGTTCCACCGGGTCGTGAAACCCTTGATTCATGGAGGACCTTTGTCCGACCAGCACCTCGCTGGTATCTTCAAAGAGATCGGACTCGCCCCTGAATCACTGCATCGGTTCTACGAGTACGCCACTGAGCAGTCTCTTGTGCAGAATGCAGGTGCATCCCCTTGGGTTGCACAAATGCTCAAGGAGTTCTCTGCTGACTCCTGGATCACTTTTGGAAAAAGTAATGCTTTCGGGGTTGTACACAGTGGGACTCGTCCCGGCGACAACTTGGCGGATATGACATTTACCTTTCTCTTTGCAGAGATCCTTTCGAGAATTCGCGAGTCCTTCCACCGCCATGACCTCCAGGTTGTCCTGCCTTGGAGTGATGACTGGCTTTGTGGGCCACCTGCTTCTGCCACCCACAAGTCTGGACACTGCAGTCCACTCGACGTCACATGGATGGACGATTTGGCAGTCCTCCTGCAAGCGCGTGCACCGCGAGAACTCATTCAGAGACTCCGCACTGCCACTGTCGTGACACTTGAAGAATGCCTCAAAGCTGCTCTCCTCCCGAATTTGAGGGCAGGCAAGACTGAAGCTGTTGTCAGTCTCTATGGTCGTGAATCGACCCGCATCTCGAAGGAGTTGTTTTCCGCTGCCGAGCCGACCCTAGCTCTTTCCTCCGAGCTTTGGCCCTCAGCCCGCCTTCGATTAGTTGCTAAGTACAAGCACCTCGGCGGGGTCATTCAGGCCAGCAAGGGCATCAAACATGAGCTGCGAGCACGTTTCGGCTCTGCTTGGCAGGCTTTCAACAAGCACAAAAAAGCCGTGTTTGGCTCCCCTGTTGCCTCGCCTGCCGAAAAAGCACAGCTCTTCACTACCCTAGTCGAGTCAACTTTGTACTATGGCAGTGGGACCTGGTCGAGACTATCTGCCGCTGACGTTGACCATGTCCAGCACCACCTTGTCCAAATGGCACGACACATGCTGCGACCTGGCATCCAATATGAGGAGGCCTGCCACAAAAGCAACCTGTATGTTCTGGCGCTGGCACGAATAGCCTCTGCCAGGACTTCAATCCACGTTGAGCGCCTCCGCCACTTCAAGACCACCATTGTCAAGGCCACCTGTGAGTTGTGGGCCATCCTCCACTACGACAAGGAGTGGTTGGCTTCTGTCCAAGACTCCTTAGACTGGCTTCGGCTACAACACCAGCGGTCTGGATCGCCAAACCCGGCTTTCGCCACCTGGGAAAGTGTTGTTGCCTTCATCCGAGAGCAGCCCTCTGCTTGGAAAAAGGCCGTCAACAAAGCCAGACGAACTGCAGTCACCGTCGAGCTCTGGCAAGCCGAGGTACAGCAGTACCACGGCCTTGTCTACCGTGCCCTTGTCAAAGCCGGTGCATGCCTGCCTCCTGACATTGATCCTGGTTTCGGCAGCTGTGAACTGTGTGCTCCTTGTGGGGTTGTTTTCGACAACCTGCGGGCGTGGTCACACCACGCATTCAAAACCCACCAGCGGGTCAACCCTGTCCGCCAATTAGCCCGAGGATCACAGTGCGAGGTCTGCCTCACCCAGTACAAGACCAACAAGGGTCTCTGCAACCATCTTGAACATAGCACAAGCTGTCGACACGCGCTGCTCAACGCCAGTGTCTGTTATGTCCCTGAGCCCGGGACAGGAAGCCGGAAATTCCAAGATGGCAGCCGACTTCTCATGCCTGCCACACGCGCGCAAGGTCCTCTTGGCCAGTGGAACTTTGCGCCAGCCGTTGAGGAAGCCGACTCTCCCTCTGAGTCCATCCTCAGATCCCTTGAGGAATGCTTTGCTCATGATGAGCAGCGCTTTGGTTCCTGGCTTGCTTTCCTTGATCACCTGCGAGCAGTCTTCTCTAGCCAATGCCTACAGCAATCGCGTCTGCGAGCAACTGCACGCGCATGGCAAGCACAGGTTGAAGCTGCCCTACAGGATGATGAGGACCTTTCTGTCAGGTGGTCAAGCTGGCATCGTCGCGCCTCTGCCCTCCTTGTTGATGTTGACTTCATCGAATGGTTGGGCGGCGATTGTGTGCCACCGGACAGGCTCACTGCAACTTTTCGGGATGCCGAGACATTGACTCCCTGGCTCGATTTCGGGGGAGTCGAGCTCACTTGCCTTCCCGGGAGCCTTCTGCCAGGCATCTGTGTTACAGCTGACAAAGGCCCGATGCCTTGGCCCACTGATGCATTTGATGTCTTGCTGCCTCACAGCCAATGCACTGCCTTTCCGCAATGCCTTGACTTTGGCAACTGGGAAAACGAGCTAGAGCAGGGAAAGTTTGCTCACTTATCATGTGTTGGCCTTCTGTCCTCACTTGATCTTCCCACTCCTCTCCGGTCGCACCAGAGCATTGCCGGCCCTCTCAGCTCGCTTCGCCTGTTTTCCGACTTGATCCGGGGTGCATTCTTTTGCTGGGGCAAAGAAGTACCAGTCAGTGTGCTTCTGCCAATTGTGCAATGCCCAGCTGCTGAGACGATTCGTAAGCTAGCACCGGTCTCCCTGAATTACGGGGAGTGTGTCTTGATTGCGAACTTTGATCCAGCGAATGCCATCCCTTCCTGTTTCACCTCTTAATTACTGCAAGCCACCATGGCTGCGTCCAACCCAGGACTCATCGCCACGAAAAGCGAAAAGCGATATATAACTTACCAGGTACCATGGACCTGGGACACCCACGGCGTCAGCAAAGGCCTCGGGTTCACGGACCCGGGCTCCGGTAGACTTTGATCCACGTGAGCTTTTAAAAATCCTGCATGCAAGAACCCATTCAACCCTGGCAACCGCACACCCGAAACCCGAAGCCCTCCACAAGCCTAAATCCTAAACCCGAAGCCTCAGACCCTCAACCCTACAACAGTAGCCAGCAGCCCCGACTCCCCGAACCCTCAAAAAGCAACAGCAAAACGCGAGAATGGACCTCCAGCCTTGCGGTTTAGGGTTCAGGGTTTAGTCCTGAGGTTCGGGTTTCAAGTAGCGGACCAGTTCGCGTAGCTCTATGTAGCTCTATGCCCCTGTGGTCCTTCTTTGATTGTACTATCATATAAGCCAAACGCTTAGGACCCTCAAAAAGAACACTGATAGAACCCTTCAGGGAATCCTGTTCCGACTAATTCGGCCCAACCCTTAACGGAACCGTCCACAGAATCTTGGATAAACTCTTCACACCTGCACACAACCCTTTCTGGACGCTAAACTCCAAACCCTCAAAGGGAGAGGCACGCCAGCTTCCTTCATCCTCTTCGCCAGGTGCTTGGCCTAGAAGCTTCATGGCTTCAGTGTTCCTCTATAGTAGAAGCCGGATTGTTGGAACATCAGACTCCTCATGCCCTTAAGGTAAAGTATAAGGGAATGTTCCAACTTTCTGGCTTCTACTGTAGGGATATCCCTTTAAGGGTTCCTTAAAGGACTCCAGAGAGGCTCCGGTTACAGTCCCGCCAAGTGTTCTGTGAAGGTTCCATGAAGGTATGAGGATTTACTAAGTAATCTAGGGTTCGGGTATGGCTTGGAGTTTCGGATTTGGGTGAGAGATTTGGGGGTTTTCGGAATTAGACCTTAGAGAGTTAGGGATGACGAGAGCATAGCGAAAGATCACAGGCCACATCTTCCCGAAAGAAGCTCAGGTGCAGCAGAACTGGAATTTTGGGCCTTCCAGGTCATGGAAATACACATGGACGAGCGAGAGAATATGAGTAAAACTGGTGACCATGCCAAAGAACGACGTGTGAAAAGGTGAGACAGCATCATGCCCGAAGGCTTTATTTTCGTGGTCTTGATCATGAGAATGGGGCATTGTGTTGTATTCTACCATATATTTACACCAAGGGCACAAAGTGATTTGATGGGATCTCATTACTGGTGGTTCCGACCCGTACATTAGAGAAGTGTGCCTGCTGGAACCTTGGCCTCAAACCCGAAACAAAAGACGCTAAACCTCAAACCGCGAACCCCTAAAACCCTCGAATAAATCCTGCAGTCTGCAATCTCAAACCACAAAGCCCGACACCCTGAACCCTGTACCAAACGCACCCTATACCCTCCACCCCGCGTGAACAAAAATGAAATCCAGCCTTCTCTAGTTCGCCATTCTCCACACAGGTGTCCAGGGCGATGTTCCAGGCCGTTGACGGCAACTTCGTGGGGCCCTCAAGCCTTTTCGGTGCGCCCTAAACCCTAAACCCTAAATCCTAAACCCTAAACGCTAAATCCTAAACCCTAAACCCTAAACCCTCTATCGGCTCCGCTAGGGCCAGGGGCTCTGGAAGTCCGAGGTTTCGGACTTAAGGTTTGCTCACGGCTTGGGTTTGGGACTGGGCCTCGTAGTGTACAGTGCACAGTCTAGTTTTCAAGGGGCTCCAGGGGTTCGCATCCGGCAGGGCTTCTTTCGTGGTAGCCAAAGAAGATGGGTTTCGGCTCGATGTATTGAAGGCACGCCTGCACAAGGTCTCAGACTGCAATTGCCTAGGATGGCTGCCAAAGCAGCGTGTTCACAATCAGAAACCGACGGGTGGCCGAATAGGTGAATATGGAGACGCGGCGGTATTGTAGGTGCCTGAAAAATGGGAATAGGTTTGCACGGTTCTGTCGCGCCGTTTGTGTTGATTGAAGGCTTGACGGAGGTCCTGAAAGAAGAAAGGATGGGATCTGGCTTTCAGCTTCCCCAGTTGCAAGAGCATGTATAAGATGCACGCTGCTCATGCTGAGTCCAATGCCCCCAGTTCCTAAACCCTGAAAAATCTACCCCTCAAAACCTCAAACCCTAGGTTATAATTACGGATTCGGGCTACAGTTGCAGAGCTAGAGCTTAGGGTTTGGGATGTAGTGTTCGAGGCGTCGACGGGTGTAGGGTTTAGCGGGCTTCATTCCGCTGGATAAATCAAGAGGCATGCTGAGAACCCCGTCGATGCTGCCACTCTTGCCTGCAGCAATGTAGAGCTTAGGGTGGACCCACAAGCGAAGCCATCTGTCGATCTATGCGCCAGTTTGTATGTAGTTGTACATCTGTGTAAGAACATGTTTATATACACACACTTGTGTATATACATATGCGTACATAAAGTCCACGCATGCGAACCTTACCAGGCAGTGTTGTGTTACGTCGCACCTGAGGTGCGAGTGAAGGGCGGGTTTCTCTGAGCCGTCATACTCGGGGCTGAAGGCGCTGTAGAGGCTTTAAGGACCTAGCTAGCGTTATGTGCCCTGGGGTGTGGGTCGTAGGGTTGGGGGGGTGCGTATGGTTTTGAAGCTTGCAAGTGGAGACTTGTTCCACAGACAGTCGATCTTGGCAGGCGCGTGTGTACCACCTCCGGGAGCATGAAAGGAAACAGAACTGCTGCTTCATGCTGCCCATAAATACTTGGGCAAGAGCTCGTGCTTCACTCACCTTTACTGAGACTTCTCACAATTTTTAAAGATCCGCATGACCGTTCTAGTGTGATCAGCATGACCATTACGGCCGTTGTTATCAGCCTTGTGTGGTCATGGTGCCGTCGCTGCCGTCATCACCATGATTGCACTGATTGCGACCATGCTGACAGTCGTGATCATCATTAGTTATGATTACTGTCATTCTCACTTGTGTGACCACAGTCGTCGATAACAAATTCTTCGTCATGGACACAAAACATAGCTGCTCGCATTAGTGCTCTCGTTCGTCCGTTCCTTTTTGCACTTTCCCAAAAACTGTCAGCTGATTGCAAGAAATGCTACCACTTGTACCAATCTTAAGACCACCACTACAGCTATCGATGGCCATTCTTCCTAGTCCTACCCAGGTCTTCGCCTATCAAAACCTCTGTCTAGCTTCAAGCCCGGATGCCGTCTTTGGAACGAGGGAACACGGTGCCTGCAAAGGAAATCGCAAGACTTCTGGAAGTAGCTTGATGGTTGAGGTTGCGAGGCTTCGAGTTTGGCGGCTTTCGCGGCATCAGACGAAGATTTCTTGAGCTTTGTTGCATCCTGCAGTCGAAATCGTAACCCGGAAACTCTGAACGGTCCAATCAAAGATGGCTCTCGGCTTTGAACGCAAGCTCTTAAAGCTTTGACTTTACGGCGTCGGTTTGGAGACTGTTGACTCAGGTACTGTGCATCCTACATAACAATTCTTCCCTTTTTGCATCATGCTGCAGGAGGGCTGCCTAGCTCCATTGTTCACAAACCCCGCCCGTCAACGCTTTCCTCCGGACTCTAGACTCTATCTAAACTCTAAACCGTGCCTATAAGTTTTATACTACGAACATATAGGGACCAAAAGGAAAACCATTACTTCGTATTCAGAGCCGGACATTCCTCTATGCAAGCCTCACTGCCAGAAACCCGGAATATTGAACTTTGAAACCACTCTGCCTCTTGGCGTGTGTATTGCTACTCGAAGCTCGCACCGAGAGTACAACGGTCGGGTGAAGAGGGTCGTCTAAGTCTGAGGCTTAAGGTTAGTAAGGGTCTCGGTATGGTGACGATGACTCTCGCTATTCCAGTGCCAAGGCTCTTGTTGCAATACTATGCCATAACGGCTAGAAGTTGTTGGGTTTAGTAGGAACCGAACCCCAAACCCGTAAACCATGACACCGTAAACCTGAAGAATCCAAACCCATATGGTGAGAACCTCAGAATCTCAGCCATTTAACGCCAAACCCCCAAACCTTCAGAACCTCAAACCTTGAAACCCCCAACTGTAGACACCCCACTATCCCTAAACCCTAAACCCTAAACCCTAAACCCTAAACCGAAAGAAACACCAACTCAGCTGCCAGAGAGTGTCCTTGCGATGCGTCTGCTGCTTCGACCAACTCATCCAGGAGATCCTGGACCCATTTAGGGTTTAGGGTTTAGGGGTTTACGGTTTAGGGTTTAGGGGTTTAGGGTTTAGGGTTTAGGGGTTTAGGGTTTTGGGGTTTAGGGTTTTGGGGTTTAGGGGTTTAGGTTTTAAGGTTTCGGACTTAGGGTATGATTGATGCAAGGGCCTTGGTAGTTGAAATAAGGTTGTGGGGTCTACTGTAGTATAATAAAGCAGGAACCATGAAGGGATGCTGCTGCAAAGACATCGGACGTCCTAGATTATGGCGTTTGGGGCTTTATGCAGGCCGTTGGGGTTCGGGCCTTAGAGTTACAGTTAGAGGTTTAGCGTTTAGACCCTTGGGGTTGTAGGAATTTTGGTGCCCTAGCGGGCTTGGGTTTGGGGCTCTGGGGCTTTAGGGTTTCGGGCGTAAGGGTTTCGTTTGGGGTTTGGGTTTTCGGCTTCATGTCTGCAGTGTTTAGCAGGTGCCTAGCATTAGGAGAAATGCCAGCAACCTCCAAATATCACAACACGACGGCAACCACCACGACGACCACGACGACGAACCTCTGTCGCTGCTACTATAGAAGACCACCACCACCACCACCGCCACCACCAACGACAACAACCACCACATCCAGCACTGGCAACAGCACCGCCGCAATTGCCACCATCGCCGCCGGCAAGAAACACAGGGAAGAAGAGGACGATTGGCATGAGGACCATAACAATCACGGGGACCATGACGAACACCGTTTTCATCATCACGACCGCATCATCACTATCAACATGATCCAAACAAGCGCACCGCCATCATCATCATCAACCTTACCAGAAGCTGCAAATATTGGCCATCAGCACTATCGCCACAAGCAGCATGAAATTCCTGATGCGCTACCATCCCAGCTCATCACCATCGGCATCATGCCATCATCGTTTATCACAACCATTATCTTACTCATCATCATACCGAGCGTTACTTCCCCAAAGATCTCCTGGCGCTCACAGCTCTGGGCCGCCGCGAGGAGGCAATGCTTCGTGCGCGCATCAATAGTGGGCCGATGCCTAAAGGATTTAGGGTTCAAGGCTCCACGGGTTTCAGGATTCAGCGTTAGGAGCGGAGAACTGCCTGCACAAGATTGTGGATTTAAAACGCTTCGTGGAGTGCCATACAGCCTCACACGTTTCAGACAAAAAAACTCCCATTCACACCGAGCTTTTGGAGCATGTGTTGAGGTCAATCCCATGATTAAATGCAAGGTCTCCCAAATTAGGCATCATGAAGCTGTTCATACCCCCCAGCTCTTGCAGCTGAACTAAGTTCACAGAAATCTCAGACGTCCGACCTTTAGCCCCAAATCACAAAACCGGAGTCCAAAGCATTCAACTCTGATCAGCACAAGAAACTCCCCCAAGGCCTCGACAAGCCAACTTAACCTGCGGCACACTGTGTCGCCCGACGACTGCATGAAGCCCGAGCCGAAGTATCTCCTATAGGGGCCTAAATAATCCTATACTACTTTTTATAGCAAAATAGTTAAGGCTCCTATATCTATTATTTTTATAGCAAAACAGTTCAGGCTCCTATATCTATTTATTAGTTTTATAGCAAAACAATTAAGTCTCCTATCTCCTATATTTGTGTCAAAATAATTAAGGCTCCTTTTTTCAGACCCAGGAGCGGCTGTCCATCAGCGCCCTGCCAAGGGCTGTCATCTGTGACCCGGACTAAGCTCAGGGGCAAGTCGGGACTTGGGATTTCTTACCTTTGGTTAGTAAGGAATGGAAGAATGGTAGTAATAGGAGTTATGGGTTTAGGATTTAGGGTTTCGGGTTTTTTTTTTTTTTGTCGCTCCTTTTCTCCTGCAACACAAGGTCACTGGGGAATGCCCATAGGGCTGGAACACCTGGTCAACCAGGCTTGCAAAAACTCCAAGGCTCTCGGCAGTAGAGAAATATAAAGAACAGGTGTAGACGTATAGGAAAGAAGACCAGAATTGAGCACGATGAGCCTGACTACACCGGAATAACAACCCCTCGGACAGTCTGAAAGACTACGCGGATGCAGAGTGTGAGACAGAGGGGGCACGTTGTGCCGCGACATCTTCTGTCTCAGTGACAACTCTCGGAGTGTCACCTTTCTGCATTGCAACAGTTTCAAAGAATTCCAACAGAACCCGGCCACCAACCTGTACAACGTCAGCACCGGTGCAGATTCCTTCAAGCCACTGCATGTAGTAGCCATAGACCAGGGGGTCATCCAGATCCAGCAATGCACCCTTCAACGACCGACTCTGGTACTTGGTGAGGCGCAGACGTTTGGCATCGTTGCTGGACCCGGCAGTTTCCCCCCGCACTTCCACTGGTACTTTCCACCAGTCCACGCGTTCGCCTTGGTAGAACCATTCCTCTTCTTCTTGTACTTGCACCACTTGCGTACTCACCACGGTCCCTTCAGCCCCTGCGACGTCGACGTGCATGGTCTTGTCGAGTCCCGCCACACTGGCATGGACACGGATCCTGGTGAGGAGTCGGCCAGGTCTCCATGAGTACGACCCTGCCTGCTCCATCGTGTCGTTCTCCTCGTTCTGCAGTTCTGAAGCCCTGGCTTCCCTCATGTATTCTGTAGCTGCTGCGGCATCCCTTGCCATTTCCGCTGCTTCCATCCGGGCTTCGTACTCCTCCACCGCAGCTTGCTCTTTTGCAAGATCACTCATGTAGGAGTCGTCGAGGACCTCGGCATCTTCACCCACGTGTCGAGCCACCAGTTTACTCATCCAAGAGTCCACCCATTCTCCGTCATGTAGTTCTTCGGCACTCGGGTGGGAAATAGGGCCGCAGTCTTCGGGGGCCTCCGACCCGTATACCAGCAAAACTGCAAATAGTTGGGCCTTGTCTACATTCCAATGTCCTGTGGCTGCAGTCACCGTCCTGTGTAGCTTCCAGGCACGGACCCCCCGGGGTCGCGCTTGCATATTCTCAAGGTCGTTCTGCAGCTTGGACACCAGCGTTGTAGGCGAAGGCGGTGGTCGGGGACCGGCTGGTTGAACTATCCCTGTCCCTGTTTGCATATAACAGCTGAGGTCGTCAGCTGTACTGGTGTGCGATCTTGCTGTTGTATGAGCGCAGTCTCATCCCCGGTGTCTTGTCTTTTGCTCGCCCTGAGGAAAGCAACATGGTTGATCACCAAGTTGATCTGCTGGCTCATTTTAGCCTGGATCGAAAGCCACTCGTTGACAAAGATAGCCATCTCGTCATCCGGAAGGTTCTCGAGGGTTTCCTGGATGTTGTCCACGATGTGCTGAGGGAGGACATTTGGTGTCTCCGTGGAGGAACTCGCCCCAGAGGTAGCCCCATCGAAGTCCAGGAGGGTGATCCACAAAGAGCGAGCCTCCTGGGGTCTCATAGGCATCACTCTGTTGTCCACCTCTCCCTCTTCCTCCTCCTCCAGCTCCACCTCCACATCCTCGAGGTCGATCTGGTCAGGGTCTGCATCTGCACGGGGCTTCGGCCGTGCTTTAGGGATGCACTGCCCTTGGCTCGGCCTGGGTCGTGGGTCTCCTCTCGGCCTTGTAGTGGTACCAGGGGTACCACTTGCTGTCCTTCTGGTAGTCCCCGGGGCTGAACTCGGCTTGGGTTTGTCTCGTGGGCGTAGAACTCGGGTCTCCTCCGTGCGCCTGTCGGCGCTTCTCCACGCCTCTGCCGCAGGATCTCGCCGAGGTTGGTGGCTTTTCTTCAACCACTTGCTTGCAACCACAAAGGAGGTGGCGTCGGTGGGCTCGTCATAGTTCACCCTCCTTTGTCGTGGTTGTGTTCTCATCCCACGGGCTTTGTGCTCGATCTTGGCTGCTCGTTGTCGAGGTGACCTCCCCCTCTTCGCGAAGGGCTTCTGGGTGTATAGCAGCGGTGCCGAGCGTCTGCGCCGGGTGAAAGTCTGGGAGGTCTCCGGAACATCACCCCGTTGGGGGCATATACTGTGTTGTCCTCTGAGGTCCGCCTCGTCCACCTTGGCAAGGGGGATCTCACCGATGTAGTCGTGGGCCTCGTCTGTCTCCTTGTCGTCGAGGTCCAACTCATGTCCGGCACTGGTCGACCATATCACGGGGATCAACCCCAAGAAAGCGGCCACCGTGCCGACGCCGAGAGTTCGCATGCTTGGAGCGCAGGTCTTACACTATTATCAGCCTGCTTTCGTTCAAGTCTTCGAGACGAAACTGACATGCATGTTCGCGTAAAGAGATAGAGACAAAACAACGTGCTTATGTACAGGAATTAGGGCAAAGATGTGGCAGCTTAGGCTTTTTCCTTCCGCAACCCCTGCGACCCCCCAGTTCAACCCGGGTGGGGTGTCAAGGTGGGGCAGCCACGGGAGGGGCGGGGAAGTAGGGAGGGTTTTGGACTCTCTACATCGTGAGGGCCAGTTGTCGGCCCGAACACCACGCGACATCCTCGCGCCTAGTCCATTCTGGTAGGTGAGACATCCATGTTTTCGGATTGAGGGCTTCCGAATGCCAATCCTGGTTGCCACATGCACGCGAAACCTTGGCTTCTTCGTTGCTTAGGTACGGGAAAATCCATCCTCTGTGTCGTAGTCCGTCCGGATCTCTTTGTACCCTGAGCCACCAACTTCTGTCACGGACCCTTTGGAGAATCGAACTTGCCGGCGGGGAATCCCTGTGAAACCCTCTGCTGACGTGACCTCGATAACCCAAATGTCTTGTCAACCAAGTGGTAGACCATCTCTCGAATCCGCTGTTGACCAAAATGGCTCGAGCAGCTCTATGGCTGCGTTGCCTGTGTTCCAGCCAAGTTTCTGTTGGTCCTCGCTTGAGGCGGGCTAGTTTGCAGACCAGCTCCAGCTGGCATGAGTTGAGTGCTCCCATTGCTTGCGGGTTCGGGCAGATAGCCGCGCAATACCATAACGCAGACCCGGCTACCACGCTCTGGAAGACCTTTAGTTTCTCCTTGATGGGACCCCGCACCAGGAAAATATCCTTCTTGCCATAGAACTTCGCATTAGCCCTGGCAATGGCCATATCCATGAGCCCGGTGGGCTTGATAGGGACACTGAGGGGTAGGCCGAAGACCTCCAGAATTAAAAAAATGTGGTTCAATATTCTCCCCATCAAGCAATAATGGTCCCTTTTCAGTACATTCCGGGCCCTGGTAATATTTCGTCTTGGCCGTATTAAGGGACAAACCCCATTCTTGGAGGGATGCTTGAAGAAGAGCATATTTCTTCTGCATGTTCTCCTTCGTCCCTGCCCAGACGATCGAGTCATCCATATATAGTAGCTCCTGTAGTGTCATCTCAGGGATGGAGCCAATGACATGTGGCCATCCTTCATGCGATTGAGCCGAAGAAACTGCTAGCTCCATTGCCACGGCAAAGATAAAGGGCGATTCAACGGATCCTTGGCGTATACCCCGTTGCTGGGGGATGGAAACTGGCCCCCAAGGGGTTTTGAGTGTCGCCTCGCCCTGCTCGAAGAGTGCAACCCAGCAGCGGTATTCATTCGCCATATCACTGGGAAGGTTCTTTGCCAAATGTGCCAACACCTTGTCCCGACATAGTGAGTCAAAAGCCTTCTTGACATCGAGTTTGATGTAGTGTAATCCCAATTTCCACTCTGAGTCGAGACTCATGGCCCGAATGGCGGCATACAAGTAGTCGCAGGTTTGCCTGCCACTGTGAGAGCACTGTGATGATCCAGTCGGAGGAAGGTGTTTCCTCGTTCTCGTCAACAGCAGCGTGGAGAACAGTTTGCCAATAGCTGAACCGACACTTATCGGTCGTAGTTCGCCCGGGTTCTCCGGTTTAGGTGTTTTAGGCAATAGGGTGACCACTGTTTGGAGCCATGAATGAGGCATTTGTTCACCAGTGCGGATGCGTTCCATCCACTCGAGTAGTGCCACCGCTGTGGGAGGGTCCGTCATGAGTGCCTGAAGCAACTCCGTAGAGGTGAGGCCTTGTGCTTTTTCGCCTTGTTCACAGCGTCTTCCAGCTCTGCCATGGTAAAGGGCGTACCCGAGCTATGTTCCTTCTTCCAAACCGGGACTTGTCGTGGTTGTGGAGCACTGAAAAGGGCTCGGAAGTGTTCCGTAGTCCATGTGCAGGGGTCTTTGCCTTGGCTGCCAGCAGTATCCGCGTAGTGTACCGCCCATTCCAAGCCGGGTCTTCCAGAGATGTCCTTGAAGTCATTCCAGGATCCAGTGGCAGCACTTTGTAGCTTCTGTTTTCTCCAGCTATCCCGTGCTTCCCTGCGTAATGTGTGGGCTCGCTTCCAGTCTTCTGCAAGCCCACTGTGTTTGGCAATCTGGTAACATGTTTTCACATGGGAGGGGTCTCGGTATTGCCTCCCAGGGCAAGGTTTCGTACATTGCCTTGCAAGATGTTCTATGTGGGCTTGGTCCATGTGTGTAGTGGGTGGAACCGATGCACTGAGGATTCTGGGTCTGGTAGTGTGCGGGAGAACTGGCCGGTTCTGTACCCTGAGTGTGAGACTAGTGAAGATTCTCTCATGATCACCACCAATTTCCCGAAAACTCCCTTGCTCGATAGTGATTGGGTCGAGTTTTCCTCTTTTGGTCATGATCCCATCAATCTGGTATCCTCTGCACCCTTTCCTCCTGGGTTTGCTAGTTGGAGTGGACAGCATGGCGGGCTGAGGTGCCACCATCTCGAACCCCTTGTTAGACATTTCTGATTTAAGGTAGTCTGCTCTGCTGTCCTTGGGTGAGAGGCATGGTTTGCCTTCTGGGTTGGCCCAGTACAGCCGAGTATTGAAATCCAGGAGGCCACAAGCCGGGAGGGTGGTGGGGGGAATCAGGGCCAAGAAGTCCTTGGCCTCGTCAGCCGTGACTTCGGAAGTCACCCCGGTACTAAGTCTGCCACATCCTACCCAAATTTCTTGCAATGTCGCTACCGACCTCAGCTTCAGCCAGATTCCATGACTCGAGCCTTTGCGTCTCATCACTCGCCAAGATGCCGAGCGAAACAGTATCCCGTTACCTCTCCACTGTAGGTCTTCTCGGTACTGGACCAAAGTGTAGTTACCAAAAGGGTCGGTTCGCCAACCCACAGTGGTTCTAGGCAACTCTTGAAAAGCCATCACGGGCGGCTCGCTTCGCGAGTCGTGGTTTTGCAGGGTGGCCTCCAAGGCGTCTTCAATTCGAGTGCCCCCGATGTTCCATCCTACCAAGGTTTGTTTGATCAAGGGTGAATTCGTAGTATCAGCAATGTCAAGAAGCCTTTGGCTCCCAATGTCCTGGCTATCCTGTGCTGTACAAACAGGTGTGCCAGTTTCGCATGCATGTTGTGTTTCTGGTGGTCAGGAACAGGTGGAGAGATTTCCCCTATTCCTCCCACCATGACAGCTCCGCCGCTTTCAGCGAATTGTTGCTCCTCTTCGTGGTGTTCTCAGTATTTCATGAGGTCATCCCAGCGATTGAGAATTTTGTCAAGGTCGCCCCCCGTGTATTCCGCAACCTTTGCCAGTCGGATCCACGAACCCGGGGCTTTCCCAGGAGATGTGTCCTGTCCTTCCGGTGGGGGCCTGGTCACCGCCGCAACCAAGTCCGAGTCCAACCAAACCAAGCCTGCATTGAAGTCAGCCTCGATCATGTGCTTGAGCTCGGGGTTGTGTTCGAGTAGGATCCGCTTGGTCTTCCCCACATGGGATGCGCAAGCTCGTTCCTTAGCCGTCCTGCCGAGATTTGCCCAGAGTGTTTTGCCGGCAGCCATCGTCGGGCATGCGATAGAAGCTTGGCGAACTTTCTGTGCGATAGAGATCATCCTGCGTTTAAGGTCTTTCGCCGTCTCCTCGGGATCCGTCAGGGTAAGCGCCATAGCAAACCCACGCCTCGGGCCAGTGTAGAACACATCGCCGAACTCCTGTCGTATTTGCATGTCTTCCATGGCCTGGAGTAGTTCCCGTAGCAGCAATTCCTTTGGAGTATCATCACCCCAACCACCAAAGAGCATGAGGTTCACCTTGTTGTGGTTAGCCGATTCTTCCGTAGACGCCGAGGAGATACTGCCCCTTCTCTTCTCTAGATCACCGAGTCGTTTTTCGGTTTGTTCCTGAAGGTCTCGTAGCTGGGCAATGTGATCTTCATGGCGACTGAGCTGCTGCTTGACCCCTTTGATCTCCTTCGTGGTTGCCATCTTGAGTTCAGTCACCGCCGCCTGGATCCCAGCATCCTGACTTGCCTGGAGCATGCGTGTCTGGGCTTCGAGGAGCTGTTGTAGGGATCCAAAGGTAAGGGGTTCCTGAGCCCGAGAGTCACCCGATCCCTTCGCTCTCGTCCCGACCGGAGCCCCATGGTTGTCCCCCAGTCTCTTCTTGGGAGAGATCTCCCTCATGTCATCATCACTCTCAACCGGCACTTCGTGAGCAGCTCGCCCTACTTCGGCATCAGCAGGCATCTCCGCGTCGGTGAAGTGAGAGAACCGAGCAAAGCAGGACACAGGGGGAGAAAGACTGGACTTGAGCTTGAGCTTGAGCCAGACCTTGAGCCAGGCTTGAGCCAAAATGGCTACGGTTTCGGGTTTAGGGTTTAGGGAATGGAAGAATGGTAGTAATAGTAGCTAGAATTGTACCCCATTTCTCCATTCCCTACTACCCTAACCCTAAACCCCACTACCCTAAACCCTAATCCCTACTACCCTACTACCCTAAACCCTAAACCCCATTCCTCCATTCCCTACTAACCAAAGGTAAGATTTCTAGACTTCCGGGCACAGAGAAGTGGCCCTTTCTTTGAACTTCAAGGCCGGCTTCCAGGTTCATAGCTTAAGAAGTAGAGTGAGGTTTTGGGGCCCACTATACGAGGAATATGATGAGGAACCACCAAAATAGTGTAGGTAGTTATTAAATAGAGTTTTGGGGCCAATTATCCTAGAAATAGAATAAGGAACCACCAAAATCGTGTAGGTAGTTATTAAATAGGGTTTTGGGGCCAATTATACTAGAAATAGAATAAGGAACCACCAAAATAGTATAGGCCCCTATAGTACCCCACCGTTCGGGCCTTCTGCATCAGGCCTCCGTAGACGTCGCAGGCTCGGGCGGGCTCTCCTGCCTGGCGGTGGTTTAGGTCGGGGAGGCTTCTATGTCGTTTAGTTTTTTTTTTTAAGATGCAGTGGCCTTTCTCCGCAATGCAGCAGGTCGTCGTTTGGGTTTTACAGTTTAGGGTTTAGGACTCGATGTATCGCTGTACACGAATCAACGAACAACGAACATCTCTCTAACTGAGAATCTGATCCCCCTAGTAGCCGATATTCCCCTCAAACATCCGAACCTCGATGGTCAATACCCGGACTGGGGCTCACGGTTCAGGGCCGGTTTCAGGGTCGAGGGTTGTGAGGGTCTTGACTCTCAGGGTTCGGGCTCAGCGCTGCCTCTGCATAGAAGCGGATGAGGGACATGAAAGACGGAGCCTGGCAAGGGCCCATTGAGCGTTTGGGGTTTACACGTGGGGGTTTGGGGTTCAGGGTTCTGCGTGGAGGTTGACGGGTAAAAAGAGAGACAATGACTTGGCGTACTGCACATGCCTGGTAGGACCCGACACGCTCGTGAGACGTGAGCCCTTACAGCTGCTTCCCGGAGCTCCCTCCCCTAAACCCTAAACCCTAAACCCTCTAACAGTACTTCTCGTCCAAAGTATCGCGTTTTTCGCGCAGGGCCTGACTGCATCAGGCCCAAGTTCGTTCGAGGATGTCGACTCTAGAGTTGAGGGTTGAAGGAGGCCTTCTCTTAGGGCTATGCAGTTGGGCATGCTCCGGCATGTGACATCATGCATACAAGTGAACCCCATACCCTTCTGCACCCCTCAAACCAAGAAGAACACAAGACACACAAGTGTTCTAGCAAGGAACAGCAACAAGTACAGCAATCGCACTTGTTTTCCTTGAGCCAAATGTTCAGCTGATGAGTCTTCGTTCTGTCCTAACCTGACACTTGTAGTTACACTAGGAAACATGTCCGGGGTACGTGTTTTCTCAACTCCCCCCTTTAAGACATGTACGAACGCTTCTACGAGCCTGTACAAATGCTGATATGTACAACAGTCTACGGCTACTTGAGCTTGAAGCCTAGCATTTGTAACAAGTGACCGTCATCAGGACTGATGTTGGTCGAGTCTCTGATTGTAAAGGCAACTGCAGTGAACCTAGGATTGCTGGTGGCAACAGACAAATGCCAACGCCTTGGATCGAACCTCGCAGGACTCTTCAAGAAGAAACCTCGTAACCTAACGCCTGGTCCTTCAGGATCCTCAACCCACAGCAGCGGTTCTGTGCACGGCATTAAACTTACCAGGAGATTCTTAGAGTCGGGTGCGTTGTGCGAATCCTTATGCATCGGTGTCATTACACCTTCTTGCACGATTACGGTGGTAAATGTGTGCGAGGGCATCAGTTGTCCAAAGAACCTAGTGATGACAGCAGTCGCTTTGGGAAACAATCTTGTCATGTTCCTTACACCAACGATGCCACCGTGTACGAAAGCACCTGATGCGAAGGAATGAACACCTTCTGCAGATTCAGCCCTTGCTGATTGCTCTTGCGGTAGGTAAGACAGCAGCTGCACGAGATGCTGTTTATTGATGCGCTGTGGCAGGCTGCCAGCGAACGCTTCAGCACGCGCTACTGTGTCTGCTAAGATTATGAGGGCTTTCTCCTCTTTGGGAACAAGTTTAAGACCTAGTTGGACTAGCATGACTGGCCATTCACAGGGGTTTATTACCTTAGTAAGGCCGTTAGCTATTTGCTCCTTTGTAGGGCAGTACGTCGCAACTACTGAGTCGTTATTAATTTGTTCCGACATCGAGGCGATGTTGATGCGGTGTACTCTACCACAATGCCTCAACTTAGCGCTGTAACCGCTAGCAAGAATCGTAAGCAGGGTCTCGTTATCTTGATGGTATGTTGTCTTGCAACAATAACCCAACAAGTACTGCATGAAAGTCTGAATGTTTATCGCTTCTGAAAACATGGCAGTGCTCATGGCGATTGCCTCTGCCTCTGGAGTTGAGCGCGCTACGGAAGATTGTTTACGTGAGGACCAGAAGACAGGGAACCTTGACTCTCCTGTCTCGATGCAGACGAAGATACCAGATGTGGATTTGCTGGTGAAGGGACAGCTACCAAAATCTGCGTCAGTGTACACATGAAGACTCGGTTCTTCATTGTGACATACAGAGGCTGTTAAGCACAGGTCTACTGTGCCGTTAAGAAAGCTTATTGCCCTAAACAAAACCTTATCTTCCCATCGGGTCCATCGCGTGACCTTGGTTGCAAGTCTTCCAGTAATGAAGTAAAGATCTGGCCTCGATAGTCGCGCCAGCCACAGCATCTTCATAAGAATGCGTGCGGCTACACCGCTAAGCTCTCCTTCTACAGCTAGATCCTCGTCAGATATACTAGCTTCTGAGAGACAAGGCGTGGGTACTTTACGCAACTTCTTTTGCTCTAAACCAGACAACTCCAAGTACAACTCAACTACCTGTTCGGCATAAGCACGCATGTCAAGAGTAACAGTTGTATGACTCGGACTGCGGTGAATCGTGTGATTTCTGCCAAGAACCCTGGCCCCATCTTCAATCTTGGTTTCCGGCTCAATCTTGATTAGCTTGCGCAGTTGATCCCAGAATCTCTGGTGAAGATCTGCCTTCCCGGCAAGACTCAAATCATCAACGTAAATATTCAAGACTAAGAGCTCACCCTGAAACCAAAACAACCAATTTGAAGGATGTCCTGGGACCTCTTCGCCTCCTATCGACCGTAATTTCTCTGCAAGATGTTCTTGCCATAACTTTCCGGCAAGTGGATGCCCGTATAGGCTCCGCATCAGCTTTACGGCAATTTTGGCGTTCGGATCAAACTTCTCCTTCATCTCTGTGGTCCAGAGTTCGTAAGGCAAAATAACCCACGTGTCTTCTTCGAGCTTTGCTTGAAGAAATGCTTGGATCGCGTCACTAAAAGTAAGGGTTGAACCTTTTCTACACCCAAACCAAAACGTCAAGTTGAGCGACGTAAGCGCAGTGGGCGATGTCGCTGTGTCATCAAACAAGACGATGTTATGTGATGCGTCCGTTACATAATCACCACGGTACACGATTCTACCTTTCCACTTTTGTTGGTGTGGTTCCAACTCTATATGCTTAACACCACACAAGGTAAGCAACTCTGCCACTTTAATCTTTCGATTCTGGGCTCTTGCTTGACTCCGAAGACTAGTCAGAAGGATAGCTGAGGAATCATCCCAGGTGTTGTTGGCCCTGAGTCCGTCAGCCTCCTTTTGTACTGCCTGCAAGCCCCTCGGGTCTTGCATCCAAACCTTTCGCGGCAAGTTTTGTGTCACCATACCATATGCACCTGTCATGTGCGGCACACTCTTGAATGCATGCGATGGAAAGAGAGCCTCTGCAACAACTTTGGCGAACTTGATCGGACTTGCATCCTCACATGCCTGATGTGCGTGGCCACATTGCTCATGCGCATGACTGCCGTCGCACTGGTACTGAGACAGGTACTGTATGAGGTTAAGACTATTTGTCGAAACACACAGTGGACGATGTTTGGGATAATGGTCACCCTCAAAACCGAGCATACACCCATCGAAGGATACACGCTTCAGGCAATTGGTTGACTCAAAATCTTTGATTCCACGCATACGCTTTCTGGGGTCCTTCAACGGCTATCCTGCCATGGTTGTCAAGACAGGTTTGCAACAGTGGCAATGTTTGACGCAACGAATCCTCGACTCCCTTGCGATGTGCTTTATGCTTGCCTTTGTGATCTTCAACAAAGGATAAGTTAACCCAAAGGTCAGAGCCCTTTAGATGTTGAAGCTGTCCCAAAACCTGATCAACATGATCTTTGTTTGTCGGGTCAACTACATCGGAGGATAACTTTATGCACTTAGCGCCTATCTCACTGACGGCTTGTGCAACCTTTGAATCCACATGGCAAGCATACTCTAACAGCACATTCATGCCTGGCATTTCTGTCAATGTTGCAATGCGCCTCGCGTGATTCATGACGGAGTGCCGTTCAAGGAACTTTGTATCAATGTCATCAACAATCTTACCAACAGCACCTTGCTCAACATGTTCAGCGCTCGCGGCCTCTTCATGTGACCCCCCTGGATCTGCATTCTCCGTGGCTCGGGAGCCAACTGGATCAGCAGGCGCTACAGGTGGTGTCTTAGGAGCTTTGGCAATTCTGTGGGCGCGAATCAATGCATTGAATCTAGCCCTACAAAGCGGCGTATGTTTGGTTGATTCGAATTCGCATCCTCGGCACCCCGGTGTGGCACCGAATTTGAAAACTCTATCCATGGTAATATACTCGTTGTGCGTCCGTGGCGTGGTCACGCCATCAATCGCAGCAAACGGAATGTCTAAAGGTTGAATGTCATCTAGCTTTGGCTGATCAAAGTTTGCTAACGCAGTTTCGGCAGCACGCTTCAAAGGAAGTTGTGGTGGCTGTTTGTCGTCAACCCAAACCTCCTCAGTAGGAACAGCTATGGGGAGTGCATAACCGGGAGTGCGATTCTTAACCTTTTGGTAATCCAGAACATACAACACCCCTTTAAAGCTCTTTGGGCCCGAATCGTATCTAAACCCAGCGAACAAACCCGGATTCGTTGAAGGAGCTATCTTATCCCTCAACGTAGGGTCAACACGATAATGCACGAGCTGTCCTAACAGAAGCTTGCGTCCAGTAAACTCCGTGCCAACTGCGAGGCAGTGGCGAGTCTGATCTTTGCCAGCAGCAATGTGCTTTGCAGATAACATTGTAGCCGCGTAGTCTACACTTAACGGCCATAAGTCCGGAACGACCTCGAAATCAGCACCTAAGTGCGTAGCTCTCGCGATCTCTTCAATGGTTCGAATGTCTCGTTCAAGCTGTGAATTGTGGGGAAAACGATTTTCAAGCGTACCCTCATGTATGAAGCCCAAACGCTTACATGCAGCCAGAATCTCAGCTGCTTGATCGGATTTGCACATGACGGTTGTTCGATCATCATATGCTAGGCCTAAGAACAACAGAAGGTTTCGGGAAACCGAATCCGTGTCCCTTTTCGCAATCGGATATGCTCTAATCCACCCTGAAAACTCATCGCGCACTACTTGGACTGCATTTTCTTTGCCGTCCTTAAGCTTTCTTACAATGATGAAGTCAGTGGCGATCCGTTCCCCAAATTGTGTCACCTCGGGCAGCATCCCTCGGTCTGCGAGTGGGTCCGCGCGTTTTGATGTGACTCGCTTGCGATACATTCTACTCCTTTGGCATGTGGGGCATGCCGGGTTCTTTGGAAAATGGGACAATCTATGCTCAAGACTCTGCGCTTCTTTTACAAGTCTCCTATGCCTAGAAAGCCCATCCTCTTCGCCTGACTCTCTTTCTGAATCTGCCAACTCGCCATCACCTGG